TTGTTTAAACATCAAGTATTGTATATCCAAAAGCTCAAGAATACAAAGTTCCGAGTAACCAACGGATTACAAATCAAACTTCAACTCCATGGACATACTCGCATTGAGAATTGAGATTTAACCGGGGGAAAACACGACAAACACAAACTATGCACTTAAAAACATATACGTGTGGAATCCATTAACTATTTCAATTGTACTAATAGCCTTTACCCACCTTACTTAATTCATTCAAAAGTTATTGTCACATTCGCTTTCATAATTCACATACCTTTCAAATGATCAACCATCCAAACGAATACAAGTGCCCAATATAACATGATTAACAAGGATCATAAATTGATCCTAGTCTATAAACCGTGTATATTGCACCTACATACATATTAGACTATAGAATTAGTGTTAAATGTAAAGTTGCTATTTGTTAAATAGCAACTATAGGTTGTTATGTAAAAATAGAATAGGTTAGAATTAATGTAAAGTTGTTATTAATCAAATAAACAACTATAGGAATTTATGTAATTTTCCATAAATCCATGAATCCATTTGGTAAAGAAAATGATGCATAGGCTGCACTTGATCCATAAATTACACATTAATTTATTCTCAAGCTACTAAAGATCCTGAATGGCAAAAAGCCATGAGGAAAGAACTTGATGCACTTGAACATACTAACACTTGGGTTTTAAATGATCTCCCTCAAAACAAACATTGCATAGGTTGTAAATGGGTTTTAAAATCAAATATAAATTTGATGGAAGTTTAGAAAAATACAAAGCTAGTTAGCGAACTGGCCGGTGTAGCCGACGGTTCGATTCCGTTTTGGTTCGTGATTTTCGGTCCGAGTCTTATTCCGAAATCTAAGTGATTTTCCGAGCTAAACCAGATCAGTTGAGCTTATCAGTCTAATTTCCGGACTTAAAATTATTTTAGTGAACCCATAGAGCGTTCCTTCATATCCGAATGAGTAATCTGATAGAGTAGAGCATCCTATCATATTATTGAGCATATGATGAACATAGTACTTAGTATATTTGTTTGCTTATATTTTTATGTAGCTAGAGGAGTCAGCTACCAGCACAGCCGCACTTACACATTTTCAAAGCAGATCAGGTGGGGACCCAGTCTACATTGAGTATAATAGTCGATATCATGTTCAGGTATGTATATGAGTTTTATCTGCTTGGGGTTAAGGCCGAGTTGTCCTTCCCTAAGTTCTGGTGGTGGCCCAGTTTGCCTTAAATATACCATCAGAGTGTGCACACGGTACCGGCCAGAGTGTCTGAGAGTTACCGACCAGAGTGTCCGGAAGATTACAATTACCGGCCATAGTGTCCGGGAGTTTCAGTTACTTATATATACCAGTTCTGTGATATCATTATTATTATTGTTGTTTACTTTAGAATGGGTTTTAATGGAGTACAAGTGGACCGTACTCACCCCCACTTTATATTTTCAGATGGCAGGGTCGGCGAGCAGGCGTGAATCCAACTGTGGTGGTTGTGGTCGTGAGTTTCGCACGAAAGCTGTTCCCGGGACATTTGCTATCGTTTTGTATAACTAAATATTTTCACGCATTTTTAGACTTCCGCTATGTTTGCGTTTATTTTCGAACATGCATGACGTTATTTTCAGACTTAAATAATTTTACCCGGTTCGCCAGTACGAACGGGTCCAGATGAATATGCATGATTCGTTAAAATATAAATCTGATTTCTTTAAGTCTAAACCAGTCGTTAGACCTAAGTTAAGAAAATGGATTTTCAAAGCAAATAAGTCTTTTGTTAGCAGCATCCCGAGATAAGTTTGCAAATGATTGCGAAAAATTTATAAGCGTATTCGAAGGTAACATTTGCGAAAAATTGGCCCTAAGTAGCGGGGTGTTGCAGTTGGTATCTAGCCAAAGGCTACACACAAGAGGAAGGAATTGATTATTTTGAAACTTTCTCCCCTGTTGCAAAAATAACAACTGTCAGATTTATAATTGCACTTACATCCATCAAAAACTGGAACATTCATCAACTTGATGTGAATAATGCATTCTTGCATGGAGATTTGGATGAAGAGGTATATATGAAACCTCCTCCTGGTAATTGTCTTCCAAGTGACACAAGAGTCTACAAGTTAGTTAAAAGTTTATATGGCCTAAAACAAGCTTCTAGGCAATGGTTTTCAAAACTCACTCAATGTTTACTTGCATATGGTTTTACTCAATCCACAGCAGACTGTTCCTTTTTCACCATGCAATCTGATTCATCATTCACTGCATTATTGGTATATGTAGATGATATTATTGTAACAGAAAACAACTTATCTCACATTTCAAAAATTAAATCTCATCTTGATTCCTGTTTTACAATAAAAGAACTGGGTACTCTGAAATACATCATAGGCCTAGAGTTTGCTCATTCTATACAGGGCATAAACATGTGTCAAAGAAAGTATGCCCTGGATATTTTGACAGACACTGGGTTCTTAGGTAGTAAACCAGCAAATACTCCCATGGATCCTACTTTGAAACTCAAGTCTTATTCTGAAAATGACACACTCACTGATCCTACTGAGTACAGAAAACTAGTTGGCAGATTATTATACCTTACCATATCCAGACCAGATATTACATACAGTTTACAGACATTAAGTCGGTTTCTTTCCAAACCAACAATGCAACATTTGTCTGCAGCTCACAGAGTTTTGAGATACATCAAAGGTACAATAGGTAAAGTGACCGCGTGTCGTTACACGGCAAATTTGAATTTATAATTTTTCCTAACTTACCCCTACTAACTAGTAGTAGTGGCAAGCAAGGGTCGATCCCACAGGGAGTGTGGTATAAACAGTGAATTTATTATATTAATTAGATTAAAATAAAAATGGGGGGATTGATTTATTACGAAACTACTAGCAAAACAAGAAATAAACTAAAACTAAAAATAAATGAATTATATGCCAAAGGTGATGAAACTGAAAATAAATAAAAATAATCTAGCAAAGACGAGAATGGAATCGGTTCCAGGTCAGTCTACACCCTCGAATAACTAGCCCAATTAATGCTTTTATCAAATTTCACTCGTCTTCTAAAACTACCGGTCCTAGATAGCAATAAGCTCTGCTACCCGAATTTTCTCTTAATTTATACTTAATCGAAATAGGCTCTTCAATTAATTCTAACTAGCGAATAACTCGGAATAAGCTCTCCTAATTTAACCCACTAGCCGCATTAGAATCTAGGAAAATAGACCGATCTAAGCCACAAACACATAAGCTCGGTTCATGTAACTTATGTTGTGCTATCCCTAACAATGCACGACTGTTAGTTGCTACAATTGAATTAAGAACTACGACAATTACGGATCGAAGCCTCAACTCTAGCAATTAACATACAATTCCTAATTTAGGTGATCAAGCTAAATTAAAAATCACACATTATGACATAAAAATAGAATAACACAATCAACTTTATACGACGAGTAAAACAAAATAAATAGCATTAATCAAACATAGTCATCGAGGGTTTAACGTCCCTAGAACCGAAATAGTGTTTAGCTACACATAGCTAAATGATAAAAATAAAAATAAAAATCTATGATCTAATAAAATAACGCAACACTGAATAAATAAACCAAAACTCCTTCAATTGATATATGTCATGGTTGAATTGAAATGCAGCAGCAAATAATCTTCTTTGATCTCCTCCAAGCACTCACGAAAAGGTACCAGCATGCGCCCCCAAGCTTCTGTTTCACCCTTCCGTCCCAAAAGTCTCAGAATAATAAATAATGTTTTTCTTTTCCTATGCCCACGTAAAGTCTTCAAAATCAGAGACCCACAATAGCCCAATTCTCTAGCCTCTTTCCACGCACATGACTCTCAAAAGTCAAAGTCCAACAACCTTAGCACAATTCTTTTCCTCCCAATCAACATTGCAAGTCAACAAAAGGATAATAGCCCCACAAATTCAAAGGCGGCCACTTATTAAATCCCAATTAATCCACGGTATTGCATGTTTCATTTGCCACCTCATCAGTGCCATATCATAAATAGGCATAATAACTGCAAATAAACATAAAATCCAAATATTGGTGTATGTCCGTTCACAAGATAAAATACGTGATAAAACTTGTATATTAGACTAAAACTAAATATTTCAATTATAAATTAAACCCCAAAATAATACAAGATTTCTCACGTATCATAAAGGTATCCTTTTTTCTAGATCATCTGCCTTATGTTTAAAAGCCTATTGTGATAGTGATTGGGCATCATGCATTGAAACAAGAAAAAGCATTACTGGTTTTTCAATATTTTTGGATGACTCCTTGATATCTTGGAAATCAAAGAAGCAATCCACTATTAGTAGATCATCAGCAGAAGCTGAATATAGGGCCATTGCTTCGTTTACTTGTGAAATTCAATGGCTCTTGTATTTATTTGATGATTTCAGATTGCCACATAATTTTCCAGTTTCCTTATTTTCTGACAGCAAATCTGCTATTGCTATTGCCACTAACCCTGTTTTTTATGAAAGAACAAAACACATACAGATTGACTATCATTCAATCAGAGAAAAGGTGGCTCAAGGGATCATTAAGCTGCACCACATCTCCTCCAAAGATCAGATTTCAGATATTCTTACCAAGCCACTGCCAAGCCCTTCTTTTTCCTTTTTACTCTCCAAGCTCATCATGCATAATATACATGTAGTGTTAAATGTAAAGTTGCTATTTGTTAAATAGCAACTATAGGTTGTTATGTAAAAATAGAATAGGCTAGAGTTAATGTAAAGTTGTTATTAATCAAATAAACAACTATAGGCATTTATGTAATTTTCCATCTTTTTATCCTTGTAACCCTACATATAAAAGTGACTCAAGTCACCATTATAACTCACTTTTCTTTTTCCCGTTTTCTGTGTTCAATAGCAACCTTTCCTCTTTCCTTTCTTCTTCTTCTCCAATCTCTCCTTTCTTTATGTTCTTTCTGAGACCTTACAATACAAGTTGGGCTTATGAGCTCAATCATATGCTCAAACTCATAAATCAAAATTCACAAAATAAAAAAAAAAATCTTACATAAAAATCATAAATTTCATTAAATAATCAATAAAAGCACCCATACATCTAAATTCCAAAGATCAAAAAATAAAAAATACAAAAAATACCTCTTATTCTGCATATGATTGAGCTCATAATCCACATTAAAATCAACCCAAACCTCAACACTCATATAATATATACTTACGCCCATGGGTTCAGCCAGCACTCCTCGGGCAGCTTAGGAAACCTCTCGCTATCCTTGCAATAATCGTACACGACGAGGTTCCTCTGTACCCACGCATAGTCCTTCTTCTGGTCGTTCGAGAGGTGCCACGCACTGTATTGGTCCCACCAATTATCAGTCGTGGTCGAGACACATGTTGGATAAGGGTCCTCCCATTGGCAAGCGTCCACATTGAAGTCCTTATAAGACGAGACAAAAGGCGCCTTTTTCCAGTCGGTCTTTTCGAGTCCGCCCCTCGTGGCCCAATCGTCCGCGTTCCATATGCTCGAGAACAAGTACATTGGCTTCTCGTTCGGGAAGAAATTGTTGGTGTAGTTTGCGTTCTTGAACACTCTGATGGGAACCTCGTCCACAAAAAACCTGCAGTGACAAAAATCGATAGATTTTGTGATAGCTGTAATGGCGAAAAATGCATTGTTAGTCTTAATTGGTGTAATGCCATAGCAATTTCAGTTCAAAGGTTCTAACTTTTCGCCTTTTGGTCATGTGATTTAATATTTTGCTGTAATTTCAGTACTCAACTGAAATTGCAACAAAATTTTGAATTGCTGGACTGAAATTGCAATAAAAATTTAAATTATAGGACTTAAATTGCTAATAAAAAATTACTTCCTAAGATATAAGTTGAGAATTTGTTGCAATTTGAGTACTCAAAGGACTGAAATTGCAGCAAAATATTAAATTACATACTAAAAAGCGAAATGTTAGAATCGTGGGACTAAAATTGCTATGACGTTAAATCAGCAGGACAAAAAATGAAATTTAGCCTAACTGTAATTGATGAGATTAAACTTGAAATAGAAAAAAACTTACACTAACTGGTGATTGTTCCATAAGATAGAATAGCTGTGATAATCCTCGGTTGGGTCAAACCATAGGCTGTGCCTCATCTCACGGTTGCCGGTTCCATTTTTGTACACGTTCGTCTGTATGAGGTAAGGTTGACCTGTCCTGTTACCCAAGAACTCGATGTCAACTTCATCTCTCTCGGGACCTGCTCCATCTTCCGAGCACATCTGCACGAAAATCAAAATCTTCATCCCGCTCGCAAAATGTAGGAAAAAAAAAAAAAAGAAATAGTTGCTCATTTATATACATCTTAACAGATCTTAACATGGGAACTACGTCAAAATAAATTGATCCATCAAGTTGTGCATAAACGAGCAACAGTCAACAAGCTCGACCAAACAAATACAGCAGTTAAAACACTCTGAGACTTTATTACAGCCACAAGAAATCACTCTACACTCTACATAACAAAGCCAAATGTGACTAAAAAAACACACTTACATAATAAGCAGTGACAACTCCAGCTGAGTCGCCCCCAACAAGCTTAAGTTTCATGCTGAACCACCCGAATCTGTACCTCTGCTTCGTCATGAATCCGCAACCTACACACATTAACCATCCCAAATTTTATTTTTATTTTTTTTCCAAGAAAACCAAAAACAAAGAATGCATTTAAAAAGAATAAATAAATTGATGACTGCAAAAATTTGCATAATAATGAAACAAATGTTACCTGCTTCTTTATTCAGGGAGAGGTACCAGATCTGGCCATCCTCAGAGGTCTTGAAATTGGTCTCCGGGCAGCTTTTGCTGAAATTATCGTCAAAGGAGCCTTTGATTCCAGCTGCCCCGGGCAATGAAAAAGCCACAAATGCCGTGACGATGAGAGCTCCAAACAGAGGACCCATTTTTTCAATTGATCAATGCATACAAAGTACAAACAGAGGATGCTGGTTTTTTTTTTTTTTATGCTCTCAGCTCATTTAACGGGCTTCTAAAAATGTCAAATGAGGACAGCCTGGTTAATAATTGAGCTTAATCTTATACTTTGATCAATCATATGAGAAATTAGAGGAAATTACGCTATTATTATTTACACACACATAGAGAGAAAGAGACCGACACAAGTGTGTGAAGGGATTGCCAGTGGAGGTTGAGCTCAAAAATCCAGGCTGGCCCCAGTCAGATTTAATTCTATTTTTAATCAATAATATTAAAAAAGTGGGGGGATGGGACCAAAACATGTCGCATGAAAGAACGTGAAGGAGCATTTGATTGGGTGTTGTTTATTAATCAGAAAAAGTGAAGTTCCTTGGATTTGACAACTAGGAATTGGAACACATACAGGAATCACAGGATAGATCTGCATTGGGGGTTTTAATTTTTGTTTAAAGCGTTTCACTTCCCGGTAAAGTCTCCTTATAGGAAAATTTATGGTTTCGATTGAGATTTTGAGATCATTTTATGGAGTCAAATATTTTTATTCATCAGCTCATGACTTTTTCTGTTACCAATATTTGAATATGCAAGGGGTTGCTTGGATACAAATTTATCTAATCACTCTTAATCAATTAATTTATTTTAACTCAAATTTAATTCAATATAGGAACATAGCTCGACATAAACACAGCTCGACCAAGCCGACTCACCAAGGCCGTTAGGTCGATAATAAACATTAGACCAGGTTGTTGGTTCAAAGATCTGCCACAGTCGACCTAAATGCCCTAAGAACTAGAACTCGTCCTGATAAGTAATAGCGAGGCAGAATTGAAGGACCTAATTTTACCACTATCATAAGCTTTTTGAGCCACTAAGGGATCTGAATAAGTCTTAGAATGTACCTCGACCTAGACTAAGAAGACCCAAAAAATACTAGGCAGGGGCTGAGTCACCCTAGGGCTAGGGTGGGCTCCAACCCCATGTCCCAAAAAAAAAAAAAATTGCTAATTTTATTTTTTAAAAATTTTTATACACAAGCCCCATTAGCCTCATGTAATTTTGTATGTAGCCCCATTTTATTTCGGGTTGGATGTCCCAAGATTCAAGTCGAAATTTTTTATATGACAATAATGGAGGAAAAGTGATGGTCGCAGTGAGAGGAAAAAAGCTAATCCTTTACTATCAAATGACAATTGTTTCTTTATTAGATTTTTATCAATTGGGTTGATAATGTAGCTGACACACTCTTGCCTTTTAATTTTTTTAATGGGTTGATTTGACAAGTACCAAAAGAGTTGGATAATTAACCTTAACACACACTTCTCCTGCGGGGTATTTAAATGGATTCGTCTCATTGCACAGTCCGTTATCCATTTTCACTTATTTTTTTTTTTTTTGTTGATTTCGCATTCAATAATTAATTCGGCCACATTTCCAAGACAAGGAAAAAACTCTTACAGAGTTGAGTGCAAACATGCTCGATTCTATTTGTTTGATCGACAAGTTCGATTAACTATTTTGGTTTGGCTTGTTTAAATATATAAGCGAGTCGAGATTGAGTTTTCCCAATTCAAACCGACATATGTTATCAGATAATTTGGTTCTAGTCATGATCACCAAAACCACTTACAGGTCGAAATCGCCGATCCTGGGCCGAGAGTTGGAGGACCCTGAACCGGCGCGAACATATGCACGGGCCGGTTCATTGAACTATCGGTTCTTGGTCGTTCGGCTCATTAAAAAAATAAAAAATAATTAAAAAATGATATATATTTTTAAAAAATAAAGCCAAACCTCGGGTTCTAAATCCAGTTTGGAACTGAAATTGCCGGTTCTTGTACATGAACCGAACTGGTCAAAACCACGGGCCGCGGTTCAAGACTCATGGTCAAGGGGCCAGTTCGGCCCGAACCGACAAGCTGGGTCAGCCCATGACCATGTCTACTCGATTCCAATGATAGCTGCAATAATATGCAGCCCCGGGTCAAAATATTTCCTGGCTACGCCCCTGATACTAGGCAAAGTGAACGCATCAAGATAACTTCAGTCATTAGGATAATGACGAATCTTGGGAAGCTTACCTGGACAACCAACTGTCTCCTTTGGGCAGATCATTGGGGCAGCCCGTTGTAATTCCAAGCAGCCACCTGTTCCCTTTGGGCAGGCCGTTGTACTTCCGAGCAACCTGCGGGTAGCAGAATTCTTGGTCACCAAGACACAATTACTGTAAGATCACTACACTATAAATAGAGGAAAAATGTATGATTAACTTTTTCTGCTTCCTCACTAAATATAAAGATAGCCTTATGTTACCATTTTTTCCCAAATCTCTCAGTAACTTAACCGTCGGAGTGCTACCGTAGAGAGAACCTCCCCATCCTTTTGCAGGTCATTAGTCCAAAAATAATTAGGTACGGATTATCATAAATATGTTGATTTATTTATGATCGTTTTAAATGTATTAATTGTATTTTAATATCATTTTCTATTATAACGATTGAATTGTAAATGTATTTTAATAGTTGATAACTTTTGTATTTCTTATCGGTTTTACATATATAATATATCAAATTAATCATCTTTTGATGAGCTTCGATTTGACATTCATATTGTATATATAAAATAAATAAATTATATTTATATTTATAATAATAATAAAATTATTTCTCAATTAATATATTTATGTTTAATGTAGTTACATGTAATAAGTGAGAAAACTTATCATACTATAACACAGGTAAGTTGCACAAGTAATAAGTGTCATACTAAAATATATAATAATATATATTTTTTTATAAAAAGTATTTAAATTTTCAACCAATTTTTTTCCTTAATTTTAAATTTTAAGAAAAAAATTTAGTAAGCACCTGTGTTGGACTATGTTAATTGACAAAGCAAAATGAAAAAGAAAAAATATGTTGAGGGAGAACCGAGAGGACGGACGAGAAAAATGTGGCCAATAATAAATAGTGAAAGAAAATATAGCGAAATATTCAGACCCAACAGGAAAATCTGCTTCAATTTGACCCAGAAATTTCTTGATATTAGGCTCGAGCCCAATGTCTCATTGTCCGGATACAATTCGGGTCCGGGCTGCCGCACTCGGAAGATTACTGTGTGAAATTATAACCTGCTGGCCAAGTTTGTGTGTTTACTGATTCAGTCGCAAAAACTTGTAATCGCGCGCCACGTTTTTTACCCCCTATTCTGAATCAATTGGTCAAAATAGAAAAATTCTAAGAATTTAATTATTTTATTTTAAATATTAATTTAAAATTTTACTAACTATCATCATTTTTCAATGTTAATACTATTAATCAAAAGAACTTGTTTTGAACTAATATATTTGTATTCAAGCACGTCATGATTTGCTTGTATTTGTTCGTTCCACGTATTGTAAACTGTGTCCACTTGATTTATGTTTTGATAAGACAAGAATATAAATAAATGACTATATAAATATCAAATGAGAAGGTCCTAGTTATACCAATATGGCATCTAGTTAGCTAATTATAATCTATTTAATTATATTTAAGAGTTGTGGTAGCAATCAAAATCCAAACATGCTATAATTAATCACTATCCAATTTCATCAATTATCATCTATTAATACTATATATTATATAGTGTTTTAATTAAAAATTTTGGTTGAATTCTGGAATGTTCATATGTACATTTCCTTCAATCCACTCCCCACCCTCATTTTGGGAGACTTTGGTGTCCTCAAACTCTTTCATTCTCTAAATTTTCTCTCCGACTTTCTACATTTGGTTTCTTTCTTTCTCTCTCCTAAAAAATCAATAGCCAAAAACCTCAATGTCACATTCTCCCACCCTACATTCTTGAAAATCTTTGCAACTCATATTTTCTTCTATTTTTTTCCCATCACATTCCCAAATCCCAATACAATAAAACTTTCTTAAGTTTTATTTGATTTTATTTTTTTTTCATTTTTTTGGATTTCTCTTCCTTTATTGGTGGGCCCCTTAATCCATTCAATTCGGTTTTGCTTGCATGCCTAATCAAAATTATGTTTACCAACATTTTTTGATGATACATGGGAATATCAACAAGGAGACGAGAAGAACAAGCTTCTATTCAATCTTTTTCTCTCTGTGTTGTTATCCAATAAGGTACTTTAATTTACATTTTTTTTTTTTTTTGTGTGTTAAAAAAATTTCACAAACTTGTTTAAATTTATTCTCCGGTTCAAGGAAAAAGACGTTTGCATGCCATTTTTGCATTCAATGTTCATGCAAATTGTTGCAAGTTTTTTTTTATTAGAAAGTCCAATATACAATTATACATGAGATGGTGTGTCAATTTCCAAAGGCCAACATCTTTCTTCTGGTGCTAAGTTTATCATCTTTCCTTCTATTTAGCGTTCCTTCTACGCATTTTTCCAGATTAATGATTTTACCATGAGGAAAAAACATTAAGGTTCCGTTTGTTTTGAGGGATTTGAAGTCTCTTGATTTCAAAATTTTTGAAATATAAATTTTTGTACTTGCAACTCCTTGAATGGATGTGTTGAAATCCTCCAACTTCCATTACCATCCCAACATGCATGAGGATTTGAACTTGTAAATTTGAAATCTATGGATTTCAAATCCCTCTGTAAATCTCTCACAACAAACGGAGCCTAAAGGAATTTGGGTTTTTTGTGACAGGCAAAGTTTCATTTTGTGGATAAATTTGTGGTGCTTCCTTCTACATTTTGTTTCATACCCAAGAAGAGGAATACTGAATTGGAGCCTTAATACATCAAAATTAATGGGAACCACAATTAAAGGGATCAACAAAGGATTCAAATACACTCTATCTCATATCTTCGGTAACATTTTAGTATAGATATTAAATTTTTAGCCCTTTTTTTCATAATTTTTAACACATTCTTATTATATTTTGTTTTTCATTTCCCTATTTTTAGTTGTAAAGGAACGTGAAATAGAGATTGGATATCCAACTGATGTTAAGCATGTGGCACATATTGGGTGGGATGGCCCTTCTGGAAGTGCACCTACTTGGGTATATATGTACATATATATTATTATTATTATTATTATTATTATTATTATTATTATTATTATTATTATTATTATTATTTTCTAAACTTTGTATAATTATATAGTTACCAATTTTCATTTATAATAATATGTCGGCGAAATGTAGATGAATGAATTCAAAACAGGGCCCAATTTTGCATCCACGTCAATTGATCGTAATTCAGGTTCTGCACTTTCTCCATGGACGTCTCAAGGTTCGTCTTATTTTTTTTAATATATATATATATATAATGTTGATTTTAGATCTTAATTTAATAAATCCATTTATAATAATTTAATTTAATAAATCTATTTAAGAAAGAACGCAAAAATGGGACAGTTGATTTATCAATTATTTCCACATCATGAGCAATATCGATTCAGACAAATGTCAGTGCAGTACATATTTTGTCCCGGGCTGCAACTTTTTTTGCCTCAAAAGTGGGGATTTTTTTAATTTTTGTTTTGGCTCGTATGTGTCACGAGGTCGTTTGTACATTGATGGAAATGTGCCTGAAAATTGGGCCTCGGAAAAGACATGTCTAGTAACTGGTAAAAGGTCAAAAAAAATGGTGGGACTTTATGTACCATGAAATTCTTATCATGCTACAGCACCTGAAGTACTACGAATTATAGTAATGATGATGATAGAAATGGAGATTAAAATAAGAAAAAGAAACTATCATATCATATGATTTATCGATTTTCTAGTTTGTAGATTTTTCCCAAAATTGTACTATAACATTGTGCCATATGGAGGGAAAATTCAAAATACGATCCTATATTGGTGTAGCTAGGTTAAACCATACACACACATAGGTATGTGGTAATTCAAAAATAAAAAAATTCATGACCATATGGTTACCATTTTGTGGTCTCATCTCATGCATACCAAATAAAAGCTTCTTAGAAACTAGAGCCTTATGTAAACTAAGTTGATCTTTACTTGTCTTTGTATTGTTTTACGTATTTTATTTCTCTGCAGTCATTTTTATTTGTATTTCTTTTGACGGATTCTCTTATCGTCCCTAAATTTATAAGGAAGAAAACAAATAATGGCTAGCTTGATTCATGCGTCTTTTAGATCTTATTAGATTTATATAATGGGGGAAGAGAATGCGGTCCAACCAGATGAAGCGCACCATAAGAGATCTTATTAGATTTATAAAATTGGGGAAGAGAGTGCGGTCCCACCAGATGAAGCGCACCATAAGAGGGTGAGGCTAGGTGCACCTTAGTGAGGTTCCATCCCAAAATTAATTGGTGATAGGAGGAGTAGCCCACTAGGCTTATATACTAGGCTCATTTTTTCTATAGAATCAATGTGGGACAACTCACAAGTGATATTCCAACACGCTCCCTCACTTGTGAGTCCATCGTAAGCCCAAGCCCACATAGCAAGCCGGGTAGAGAGATAAGCCCAAGCCCAGAGCAGACTGAGATACCATATTAGATTTATATAATGGGGGAAGAGAGTGCGATCCCCACCAGATGAAGCGCACCATAAGAGGTGAGCCTAGGTGCACCTTGGTGAGGTTCCATCCCAAAACCAATTGGTGATAGGAGGAGTAGCCCACTAGGCTTATATACTAGGCTCATTTTCCCTATAGAATCAATGTGGGACAACTCACAAATGATATTCCAACAGATCTAGAGTGCATTTGATAAGGATCATAAACTAGTTCAGGGACGGACGCAGACTCGCAAGACTAAGGGGGCACAAACGTAACCTTTACAAAGTGTAAAAAAAATGATATTTATTCTCTGCATATTCTTATATATTATATCACTCATAATTACATAAATTTACATCTCATTATATATATCTTTTTCAAATACCAATATTTTTGTTCTTTTGGATTGGATATTCTTGCAATGTCAGCATTCGTGGACTTCTTTATAATAAAGATAAATATTTTATTAGTTAAAAAACCAATGACAAACACAATTTAGTAGCTAATTTTAATCTTATAGTTATAATTTTAAAAACACCTAAAATTCAATATGTATCAAAATCAATGTTGACTTTTGTAGACCATTGATATAACTCAATTATATATGTTGCCTACAATATAATACAAATACAAAATGCAAATAACTTAAATTTTAAAAAAATATTTTTGTAATTATTTTACAATATAATTATATATCATATATGTACTAATTTTTTTTAAAACTTGAAATAAGGTTTGTTTAATAGGACAAGTTTTTTTAATAAGTTCGAGCTTATCTCGTTCTCTTGGTAACTTTTCAAATAAGCCCATTTTTTTCCAGCTAACTTATCCGCTAATTTTACCAAACACTTTTATCATATAAGTTAATTTTTCAATCATAAGTCACTATCAGCTATAAACTCAAAAGTCAATTATCAGCTAACTTATCAGAGATAACGAATCACCTAGGTTTACCAAAGATAGCCTATTATTCAGAGGTTTGTAGCTTATGTAGTATTACTTAAGCTCGTCAGTGGGAACCGACGAATCACATCTCACCATTTCTTCGGTTTGATTTCCGATTTTGTCTTTGTTTTCTTCGTTTTACCGATAAAGAGATTTTGCAGAGTCCATGAGGCGGCAATCAGGATCCGAGGCGTTAAAGGACACCACCCCATCCGAACAAACTCCAATCAAGAAGAAGCAAAAGCGAAAGAAAACCAAATCGACTTCCTCTCCAAAATCTAATTCGGGCTCCTTCTCAAGGTCTTCAAGAGCAGCCACAGCCAGGTCGAAAGCCAAATTGGTTGAGGATAGCAATGCAAAGCCGTCAAACATTGAAGTTGCATGAGACAAAAATCGGTTAAACTTGTTGCCGTTCATGTGCGAAAAATGAAAATGCCTAATGTGTACTCGTTGGGAGTATTTTTATCGTGTGCAGAGGAAAGCCATAGAAAGAGGTTAAGGGTCGTGTTATTTTTTTTTTTTTTTTTGAATGGTTAAGCTAGGTGGAAAAATATGCCTAAGCCACTATTTGATGTGGGTTGAGATGAGACCTAAAAGGCGAAAATTAAGGTATACATGATGTTCGAAGGAGCTAATGAAATTTTCTCTTCTTTTTATTCTCTTCTTTTCATTTTCTTCATTTTTTTTTTCCTTAAAGTTTCCACATTTGCTTTAAAAATGAGAAGGATTCTTGTAAAGAGTTGTGTCAGCTGTGTTTCAGTTCTTTTTCCTTTTTATTTTAAAAAAAAAATATATTTATGTTCATCAAATCCTGATTTTGGAGGCCTTCAAAATACTTCTATTGAAATCTGTTTTCAGCTTGCATCTCTATTAGATATTAAATTCGCATTTTATGGTCACAAACACAAAAATAATTAACTACAATACCAGAACCGTCTAACCAACTTCGACCCGTTTGGCCGTTTGACATTAACTTTTGCGATTGACCGATGTTACCAGCAAAAATTGTACAGAAAACGATCGAACTCGATTTCTTTTATTCTCACCTATTATATTCATATTTAACAGGATGGCAGTTTAGATCTCAGCTGTTAGTTAAATCTACCCGCCAAATTCGGTCACTTTAGAAAAGCTTATGATGATAGTGCTCTCAGCAGTAAGATGGAATCTAGCCACCACGTTTTAGAAAGATGCTAAATGAATAATATTAAGACATCCAGTTTAGTGTTTTTGTTGCTTTTTGTGTTGTAATTGCTCTTGTTCTTCACTTGTGCTAGTGAATTCCAAAAAGAGCTGTGTTCATTTATTGTACTTGTTTTTAATAAATTATATAATCTTTGTTGTTTTGTCAAAAATAAAATAATCCATACAACTTGTACTGGGCTATCATGCCCGAATTAAATAGAATAAAACTCACGGCCTAATTTTTTTTTCCTCAAAGCCTACTGCTTTTTGTATTTTTTTTTGGAGGAAATTGCACCCTGTACAACACTAATCACTTTTTATTATAAAATTACCACATGCATAATATTACTTACAAAATTACTAGATATATAAAAAATAATTAATTAAAGTATACAATTAATTGACTAGCGTAATTAAAGGTAGACTTTATTTCTCCCCTTATCTCTTCTTCTCCATTCTTCTCTCCCCCTTCTCTCTNCCCTCTCTCTGTTCTTCCCAGAGCTTATCTTTACTCAACGCATTCAGTTTGAGATTTTATTCCTGGATTCAAGAACTAGGTGAAATCTTTATCTAATCTTTAGCGAGCCCGGAAAGAGTGGGGACTGGCCCTACTTGAGTCAGGATTTTCCGCAGTATCAAAACCCTAATCATCGTCCCCGCAAAGCCTTTCCCACCATCAGGAGCTGTAAGCCTATCGGCTTCACCAGGTTCAAATCGAGACTAACGACCATCTCCGCCGTGAACGACGCCGCCCTTGCCTCGGCCCTCCCCCGTGGAAGGCAGATCCAAAAACCCTGCATATCCTCTGCGGCTTTGTCACCATCCTCGTTCTTCGCGGCTTAATCGGGCTGAGCAACCTCGCCTTCTACGAAGCCCAAGCCAAACATATGATTTCCAACTACTGCGTGTTGAATATGTTCATACAAATCCTAGCAAAAACCGGATTGGTCAGTGATGCCAAGACCATGATTGAATCTATTTTGATGAACACTTGGTGTGCTTGATTCGTGGACAGATATTTTTCATTCTGTATATGTTACGGGTATATACAGTATATTATCAGTATATGTTTCCGTCCGAGTAATGTATCATCCTTCCAGAATGAAGAAAGTGAATGATTAGATTGATTCAGCTCTTGGACAGGAGAGAACTACATTTTGACTTCACAATGTTAGTGTTTTATGTAAATTTCTCTAGTATGAAGTGCGGTTGTTCTAATTGTTAGCTTGTTGAGCTCGTGTTTCTCAATTCTATGATGAACAACCCGTGTTCTAATTGGTAACACATTTTTTTTTTGTTATTTTATACTTCTTTTATTATAAAGATTTTATAATTTGTATATGTTACAGTTTTGTATAGGATAGATGATTTATATTTATATATACCTTGCGGTTGAGGCCATACTTCCGACGATGAGGACAACAAAAGAAGTAAGTATTGGTTCTGGATAAATATACTACATATATACATAATATATACCCCAAACATACTAGATAAAATTTTTAAAAACCAATACAATCAATAAACAATATATATACGCAAAATATACAGTATATATTCGCGCTGAATCGTCTGGTCCGACATGGCCGTGTTCAGTGTCGTTCTTTCAATGTTGAACATATTTTTTTTCTTTAATTATGATTGCCTTCGGTTACTGAATTATAGGAGCAATTGAAGGAGCAGTTTCACTTCTTATTTGATAACTGATTATTTGCATATACACAATTAAATGACATCTAATTGGTAAAGATGCAATAAAATGTAACACCATGGTAAGATTGCAATTATTTTAAAATCACACGGTAAACTTAAAATTACCCCTTTTTTTTTTCCTCAAAGCCTACTGCTTTTTGTACATATAGGCCTTTTTTTTGTTGAACTCCCCTTTACGGTCCATCAATCGAGTTGAGTGTTGGCCCAATTGCTATTTGTTTGCCAACCATATACTTGTCAAAATATATAAATCCTCAAGTTATAAAAAAATTTCATTGATGTAATGCGATGGACAGAATTCCAAAAGACGAAAATCGGAAGCAACACAAATTCAAAGTTCAGTCCTCTCTTTCTCTTTCTCTCTCTTCCTTTTTTTATTCTTTTTCTTCACTTTCACTCTTACTTCTTGTTCACATTTTCTTTTAGGGGTGGGCACGGTTCGGGACGGTCCGGAATTGGACCTGTCCCGGTACCTGTCCCAATTTTTTGAACCAATCCTGGACGACACCTCGTCCCAAACGGAACGGTATCAATCGGGATCGGGACAAAACGGGAAAAAAAATGTTCAAAAATCAAACTTCAAACTAAACTATTCCCTGTTGGCCTGTTTGGCTGTTTCACTTTTAAAAATAAAATAAATAAAATAAAACTTTGATTCCATTCAAAAGGCCAAGAAACATTGTCTTACAGTCTTAAGTTACAATTCATAAAGCTACAACCAAGCATTTAGCATTCAAATGAATCAAAAACTTGAGCACAGAGCTATATATATTGAATTAGGGTTTTGATTCTGAATTTTGGAACTGAAACAAAAAAAGAATGACGAGATTGGAGGTGCTGATCGCGATTTGATGGCGACGTGATGGAGATGCCGAGATGGAGAAGAGAAATTGAATTGAGAATTTGAGAATTTGGATTCTGTAGTTTGTGCGTTGTGCCCGTAAATATAAATGTTAATGACTTAATGTGTATTACTTTATTATTTAATGTTTTCATTTTTTGGGCCAATTGTCTTAACAGACAGAAGTGAATTTGACTTTCCTTTCATTAATAAAAAAAGTCTGTTAAGATTTTTGCACAAAAAAAAACCTGTTAAGATTTCATTAATAAATATAAATTAATGTATTATATATATATATATATATATATAATATTTTTGTACAAAAAAAATACAATGGGACAAACGGGACGGTTCGGGAAAAAAATATTAAAAACCGATACCGACATTGTTTCAACCGGTTCAGGACTGGGACCGGGACGAAAATTTTAAAAACCAATTGGAACCCTATTTTTTCAGAACGGGACCATTTCGGTCCGGTTCGGGATCGAGAAATCCGGTTTTTTTGCCCACCCCTATTTTCTTCTATGTTCTTCCCTCCTCCTCTTCTTCTTTTTCTTCAAATATGAATGTCAAAATATAAAAAAACATAAAAAAAATAATCAATTGTTTATATGCATACATACAATTAAATTAACTAAAAATCAATAGAAATATTTGATAAACTAAATTAACAACAAAAATAATAATAAAATAGAATACTTAAGGACAAATTATAGTCATGCAAAAAGTCAGATAAATACAAAGAACTCAAAAACTTTCGATGTAACAACAAAATAATAACATAACAACATTTAAGCAACATGAAAATTGATAGATCGAAAAATGTGCACATTTTATATATTTAATGGTATATTTTTATACATTTAATTTATCTGCACGTTTATATTTTTTTGACTTATCTATTATTTGGATGGATTGATACATTAATATTTATATGTTTATTTTCAGCATATTAGAGTATTTTTATGAATGGCGAAACATGAACGTAATTGGCCAAAGGATTAAGAAATTGGGCCTAAAAGTGTACACAGTTTAGCCCAATGGATGAGGATTGATTTTGGGCCCAAAGAAGATGCAAGATGCAGCAAGGGAATTAATTTGATTCCACTCACGCCACACATGTGGGATTAAAAACTGGGAGAGTAATTATTTGCGAGGTCTCTACTCGTCAATTTAGATTTAATTGGGCTAAGGGATTTAATTGGAATTTAATATACGCATTGAGTTTGTGGAATATAAGGGATTCAAGGGGGCTGAACTAGGGAAATTTTTAAGCATGCTACACGATTTTAAAGTAATTGCAACATTACACTTCATACCAATTTAATTGTGTATATATCTAATAGGCAAAAATTAATAACAATTATACCTAAAATCAGTTACAGGTAGTGGAACAACCATTCCATATTTGTAGCGCAAGATTTCAGGAGTGAAGATGGAAAGATAATCTTCATTGATACAAATGAGAAAAAAAAAATACGCCGGCGTCGCTCTTCATTGACAGGCGCACCAGAAAAAAGAAAAAAAAAAACCCCGGCGTCTTCGAACATCTCTGATAGCCTTCACGCGAGCCCGCAAGTAGCCCGACGAAGTGCGAAAAGCAATCGCCATCTCCACCGCCGACTCAAAGCACGCCGTCGCCGTACGAATCGCTTCCCCTTGAGCCGACGGCGCCCAACCTCCATCGCCAAAGCCCGACGGATCCCGTCAGATCGCTGTTGACCAATTGATGAACTGATTGGGTACTCATTTCGGACAGATCTTTGGGCCGCCCATCCCGGTTCTTGTGTC